AAATGACCCCAACCAAGAAGTGCAGGAGAAGACTCAGGAATGATTCCACCTCACCTCCTTGGTGATCTTCAGACCTACAACTGCTCCCTGAGCATCAGAGATGTGCATACGGGGGCCAAGACGGCTCACTTCTTTTAAGGGAAGAGAGGTTATTACCTGAAATACAGTTACAAAACAATAAGCTGTTCCTGAACGTGACAGGCAGGGTAACTTCCAGAAAAGGAGACTTTTCTTCTCATCCAAGGTCATTGGAAGCCTTCAAGGACCCTGGGAGGCTCCACCAGAGGGAGTTCCCTCCCCAAATCAAGGTCAGCCCTTTTATCTTCCCTAGCCTTGACCCAAATACCTGAGATCCATGTCCCAGGGATGCTGGAATCCAGTTACCCTGGAAATCTGACCGGCATCACTTTTTGTTCTATACGGGCCCTCAATGGATTTGATGATGTCACCTCCATTGAGGAGAGCAATTTATTTACTGAGTTCACCAATTTTAATGCCAATTTTATCTGGAAGCACCGTCACAGACACACCCACAAATAACACTTAATTTGCACATCCCATGTCCCAGTCAAGTTGATACATAAAATAGAACATCACACTGGTCTGTGAGACCAATACTCAGTATATGCACACAGGCAGACAGACAGACAGACACACGCACAGCTGGGCATTGAGAACTGAGTACTGAGAAGTGCTGTTTCCTGCGCTTTATTCGGAGGAAGATGGTGCTCCTATGAATAGACAAACGGCCCTAGTTGTCAGGTCAAAGAGACCTGGGATAATGTCTTAGTATGCTCTTGTCCTGTATTTTGCACGCCACTGTAAACATCTCTCTGGGCCACTATGTCCATCTGGATCACCAATCCGTGGGCTGAGGCTTGATGGTTCTTGTCCCCTGAAGTCCAGCCAGTGGCTTCCCCCACCACCTTCCTTGCCTCCCAGCAGTTGAGCAGCTGATGTGTGTCGCCAGCAAGATGAGCCAACAGATCAGGGATGATGTGTGACACCTGCTAAAGCACCTGCCCCTCCACTGACCCTCAGAGCCTGGTGGCTGCGACTTCAACTTCTCCATTCTCTGTGGGCTAAATTTAACCTGGAAACAAATAGGGAAGAAGATTCAGGGAAATGTAGTCCAGCCTGGCGAAGACTCCACAGGTATCTTCACAGAAGGCTTCAGATAACCCTCTTAAAGTCATTTTTTAAATACAGTATGAGGAAACATTTGTCAGGTTTACTTTTTCCATATTAGCTATGATGTTTGTGGTTACTGTTTCATT